TTAAGATTGAATCCAATTAAATGTGAGTATAATAAACCTCTAGATTTATTCTTTGGAGGAAGCAAAATCACAACTTTCGAATTCGAATGTTATCTGAGAGAGCTAAATGCAATCATCAAAAGAGCCACACCTGGCTCGCGATCCATACGTTACCGATCTCTGATCTAAGGGCCTTTCGTATCTTTACAGTTTTAAGTGGTTAATTTTGTAAGACATACTGTTTTGATTGTGTGTGTGCATGACAGTTGGCCTTCAATGCTCCTATTTGCAATTGTTTTCCCGGCTTTTTAATATTCACATCGACCACAAATCTCCGTAGAGTTTGGTGGTGGAACGGTAATTTGCATGAAACCTGCCAGCGAATTAGCCGGTGGACATTCAGAGACCATCTGTTAAATCTCTAATAAAGCGTCTAGTGATTTGGTCGGCTATCTGTCGTCTCGTCCAATTTTCAGCCCTTTAGACGGAATTGACACAAACAGCGTGGATATACTATAGGGCAGTCGTATTGTTTTACCACCGAAAGGCCAAAAGACCACAGCCAATTTCTTACGTAATTCTTACTCATCTTCAGACAAAAGGAGCGTTCTCACATATAGTTAAATCTAGTACCTCAAAGTTAATAGAGATAAAGGAAAAACGGTAAAAGTAGGCCCATGTGTCAAAGAATTAAGAAGTCTTTACCAAAATCAGAACGGATGCTCTGGATCTAGCCTGACTCAACCTGCAAATTTGTATGCTAAGCCATTTTGGATAATACCAAGGTCAGATAGCTTCAGTGGTGGTTTCTGTACTCGCAAAGAGGATTGAGGTAATGCCCATTAAAAACTACTGTTCTTCAAAGGTTACGCTCAACAGACTACAACCAATGCTCTCTAATTTTATTGGGAGGAGTTTGGCAGATTTGGATAATTTATCTGATTTCATTGACCGGATGAGCCTCGTCATTCAGTTGGCAGAGCGCTGGCTGCACAAAAGCCCTCCCTTGATGACGTGGGTTCGAACCCCACTGAGGCCTCGAATTTTTCACAATTGGACAAACTGAATTATCTACTATTGCCCACTGGAAATAATCGCTTTATACAACTTTGTTAGCGCAAAGTTCAAATGATTTATGGCAAAAATAATGAGATTTGGCATCTAAACACTACGTCGTAAAACGAAGCTTCAGATGGCTCTGAATAGTGCGTAGCAAAGATAATAACATACGGGCTAACAAAAAATGCGAGCGGAATGGGCCCCAAGGCTGACGCGCGTCTGGTCAGATAGCACATAAAACCAAACCATTCCACCGATTTTTCAGGTAGCAGTTGCACGTACAAATAAATATGCTTAGATCTTCAAAGTCTTATACATTTACGCGTGATAGGTAGAAGGTACTTCCGTGAGA